CTAGAGTTATCAAGTTCTAAGTCTTGACTCGAAGCTGACGTTTTTACTCAAATTTTGGGTCTTTACGCAAAGTTTATGTCTTCACTCAAAGTTTATGTCTTCACTCAAAGTTTATGTCTTCACTCAAAGTTTATGTCTTCACTCAAAGTTTATGTCTTCACTCAAGGTTTATGTCTTCACTCAAGGTTTATGTCTTCACTCAAGGTTTATGTCTTCACTCAAAGTTTGTCTTCACTCAAAGTTTATGTCTTCACTCAAGGTTTATGTCTTCACTCAAAGTTTATGTCTTCACTCAAGGTTTATGTCTTCACTCAAGGTTTATGTCTTCACTCAAGGTTTATGTCTTCACTCAAAGTTTATGTCTTCACTCAAAGTTTATGTCTTCACTCAAGAGTTATGTCTTCACTCAAGGTTTATGTCTTCACTCAAAGTTTATGTCTTCACTCAAGGTTTATTCTCTCACTCAAAGTTTAGTCTTCACTCAAGGTTTATGTCTTCACTCAAGTTTATGTCTTCACTCAAAGTTTATGTCTTCACTCAAAGTTTTCTCTTCACTCAAGGTTTATGTCTTCACTCAAAGTTTATGTCTTCACTCAAGGTTTATGTCTTCACTCAAAGTTTATGTCTTCACTCAAAGTTTATGTCTTCACTCAAAGTTTATGTCTTCACTCAAGGTTTATGTCTTCACTCAAGGTTTATGTCTTCACTCAAAGTTTATGTCTTCACTCAAGGTTTATGTCTTCACTCAAAGTTTATGTCACTAACTTCAAAAAATTATCTAGTGGCAATATTTAAGTCTGTTTATTTCTTTGTTTCTTGTTTCTTAATTGTTTTTACGTGTATCCAAATTGTTTTTTCCTTATTTGTTTATTATCTGTTTTTAGGCGTTTCTTACTTATTTTTAGTTGTCTCTCATTGTTTGTGTCTTACTTGTTTCTTATTAATTTATTGTATTTGTCTGTTTCTTACATGTTTCTTATTCATTTTCCTTTGTTTTTAGTTTTCCTACTTATCCTCTTATTCATTCCTTATTTGTTCCCTGTTACTTGTTTCTCATTTGCTTGTTTCTTACTTTTGGCCTCTCTCTCTCTCTCTCTCTCTCTCTCTCTCTCCTCTCTCTCTCTTCTTCTCTCTCTCCTCCTCTCTCTCTCTTCTCCTTCTCTCCTCTCTCTCTCTCTCTCCTCTCTCGTGGTTCATGACTCACGAATTCCACCTGATATACACCACCACTCCTGGACAAGTCACACACACACAACACACACACCACACACACACACACACACACACACACAAACACACAAACACACACCTCTTGCATTTTCTTGGACTGCCAGAAGGCCTTCGACACAGTTCCTCACAAGAGATTAGTACAGAAGCTAGAGGAACAGGCACGTATAACAGGAAGGGCACTGCAATGGATCAGAGAATACCTAACAGGGAGGCAACAGCGAGTCATGGTCCGTTATGAGGTATCACAGTGGGCGCCTGTGACGAGCGGGGTCCCACAGGGGTCAGTCCTGGGACCAGTGCTATTCTTGGTATATGTGAACGACATGATGGAAGGAATAGAACCAGAAGTGTCCCTGTTTGCAGATGATGTGAAGTTAATGAGGAGAATTAAATTAGATGCGGACCAGACAGGTCTACAAAGAGACCTGGACAGGCTGGACGCGTGGTCCAGCAACTAGCTCCTAGAATTTAACCCCGCCAAATGCAAAGTTATGAAGATCGGAGAAGGGCAAAGAAGACTGTAGAGTATAGGCTAGGCGGCCAAAGACTGCAAACCTCACTCAAGGAGAAAGATCTTGGGGTGAGTATAATACCGAGTACGTCGCCAGAAGCACACATTAACCAGATATCTGCTGCGGTATATGGGCGCCTGGCAAACTTGAGAATAGCGTTCCGGTACCTCAGTAAGGAATCGTTCAAGACTTTATGCACCGTGTACGTCAAGCCCATACTGGAGTACGCAGCACCAGTTTGGAACCCACACATGGTCAAACACGTCAAGAGTTAGAGAAAGTGCAAATGTTTGCCACAAGGCTGATTCCAGAGCTAAGGGGAATGTCCTATGAAGACAGGTTAAGGGAAATCGGCCTTGATGGCACTGGAGGACAGGAGGGTCAGGGGAGACATGATAACGACATTCTAAATACTGTGCGGTATAGACAAGGTGAACCGAGACAGGATGTTCCAGAGATGCGACTCAGAAACATGGGGTCACAATTCTATGCTGAAGACTCAGATGAGTCACAGAGTTGTTAGGAAGTGGAATAGTCTGGCAAGCGATGTAGTGGAGGCAGGAACCATACATAGTTTTAAGACGAGGTATGATGAAGCTCACGGAGAAGGGAGAGGGGGGACCCAGTAGGGATCAGTGAAGAGGCGGGGCCAGGAACTGTGTCTTGACCCCTGGAACCACAATTAGGTGAGTACACACAAGGTGGTCATTGCAGTGATGTATAATCCACCACAGAACTGCAGGAGGCCAAGAAAGGAATATGAAGAGAGCAACAGAGCAATGGTGGACACACTTGCTGAGGTGGCAAGAAGAGCTCACTCCAGCAGAGCAAAGTTGCTGGTTATGGGGGATTTCAACCACAGGGAGATTGACTGGGAAAACCTG